TGGAATAGGGTAGTCACTCCTAATTATGTGTTAGCATCTCTTCCTGCACAAGTGTCGCTTGAGGCTGCTTTCTCTATAATCTCTTCATTAGGGAATTCGCCTATATGCTAGGCTTGAGCTACAGTAAAATTCCTATAAAATTCACCTTAAAGCTACAAGCAAAGCATGGCTTTGAGATGTTTGGTACAATTCCTTCTTTGTCTGCCCCAGAGGGCATTTGTGAGTAAGGCACAGTAGGCAGGCAGATTCGGTCCTCGCTGTGGCTCTGGCATCAGGCAATGAGGAAGCTTCTGAACTGCTCCACTTCCTGGCTGTGTGGCTTTGGGCAACTTATTTAACCTCCTTCCAGTCTACATTCCTGATCTATAAAAGAGTGAAAATAATAGTATCGCAGTAAGAGGACTATTGTGAGTACTAACGAAATGAGGCAAAAGCACGCACGTAGTGACTGGTTTGCTCTAAGTTGCCAGCAAGTGCTAGTTGCAAGGATAATTATTATTACTCTCATCTTTGGCAGGATGGAGCAATTTAGGTGACAGTGATTTGAGACCTTTGAAGTGCTTTGAAGATGTGAAATATTATTATTGTGCAGAATGTTGAGTGAGATCCAAAGACGTGAATAAGAAATCAGGAGAGCTAGATCCAAATGGCTCTCTTGCCACTAAGCCTGGATGTGACCTTGGGCCAGGCTCTCTGTGCGCCTCCTCTTTCTACTTGTAGATGAAATGGCTTGATTAGATTATCTTTTGGGAATTAAGGGGAGTTTTCAATAAGTTCATATTTTTTATTTTAAAATGTTTTCAATTGTAGGGTGATTAGATTATCTTGAAACTTCACCCCAGCCCTGAAATGCTGTGATTTGATTCTGTGTTGGAGTAAGTCTCACACGGTCTCTGGAATAGAGTAGGTCAATACGTATTACATGTATCCATGGCCAAAGCTCATCTCTGAGGTTCAGAAAAGTTAATGTCAATGGTAACAATCAGAAATAGCAATCTGGGGGAATTCAATAAAAAGGCAAGCTTACTCCCACACACATCAGAACTCTTGAAGGACAGCCTTGTGGCAGAAGATAATAATATATCTGTAATAGCAACACAGTAGTCCTTCCCTTACCCGTAATTTTGCTTTCTGGGGTTCTTAGTTACTTGCAGCTCAAAAATGTTAATTTTAGAAATAGAAATAAACACTTCAGAAGTTTTAAATTACCCACTGTTCTGAGTAATGGAATGAAATCTCGAGTTGTACCGCTCTCGTTCCTTACCTTAGGTGAGTCCAGCGTCTCCATGCTGTGTCCGCTTCCCCCTTTCCATTAGTCGCTTAGTAGCTGTCTAGGTTATCAGATCCACCTTGTGGTATCCAAGTGTGTTTGTTCAAGTACACTCTAATTGTACTTACTAATGGCCCCAACGCACAAAAAGTAGTGATGCTGGCAATTCAGGGTGTGCCAAAGAGAAGCCGTAAGGTGCTTCCTTTAAGTGAAACGGTATGAATGTAGGGGGAAAACAGGATATACAGAGTTGGGTACTATCTAAGGTTTCAGGCATCCACTGGAGGGGGGTGGTGCTCTTAGAATATATTTTCCACAAAGAAAGGGAGACTACTATACTGACCTGACAACAACTTTTATGCCCTGCAGGAAAGTGAGTGCAAGACACCTTAACATTTTTTTGGGAGATGTGGCTTTGGATAGTAATGTGCTGGCAGCTCTCCCACACAGCTTGCTGTACTGAGAACCTGCTCTGTGCAGATGTGGTGGTAAGAGGGGCCCCTGACACAAAGTCTGGTCTGCAGGTGCTGACAAACTAGTGGATAAAGCATTTTAGCTGTGGGAAATACTTGAGCATTGTCTGCATTTCCCAGTATGCTGCTTACCTTGTTCATATATTGTCCATTATTCTGTGAAATCATAGCTGTTTGTATATTCAGCTCCGGGTTGTTTCTCCACCCTCAGCCCTCCAGCAGCTTCTGGATGTTAAATATTATCTCTTCATGTGAGCTGTCGCTGCAGGAAGAGTGACTCTTTTACTTCCTAATGAGTCCTGGAACTGGTTTGCAGGGTAATTATTGTTTCTTTCTCTTACCAGAAGGCTGATCAGTTCATATTTAGCTGTTTGGTCTTACTCTTCTACAGGACTCAAATTTTATTCTTTCTGTCCACTTTTCCCCCAATAAAACAAAATATCCAGATGATAATAAAAACTCGATAGTATAATGTGATGGCAACACTTTGAGGAAGAGGCAAAATATTTCTTTTGCTACTATAGCAACTACTATTAAATGCCTTGTCACTTACCTTTGAAGCTCTTTGGAAATGTGAGAGCTACTTTGCATATACAATTAAGTGTTGAAAATCACCTCGATTACCTAAGACACTTTCATCTTCCTCTAACCTTCTTCTTAAAGGGACTTTAACTGTTTTCTTAAGATATTATTAAATGTAAGATGCAGTATTGATAGATTTCTCCAAACTCATTGATTCTTATATTCCCTGAGAATGACAAGGACATTATGAAGACCACAATAAAAATAATTTTCACACAAATACTTAATCAAGAATAAAAGACTTGATTCTTACAGATACTTCAACAATTCATTGGAGAAGCATGCATTAAGTTCCTAAAAGCATTGCAAAGTATTTCAAATACAAGGAGGTTAAAGAAATGGTTGCTGCCTGCAACGGGCCCCATTAAAAATTGCTTGCTTTTTTATATCTTGTATAAATACCTAATATTTTACAAAATATTTTCCACATATAACAACTCATTTTATCCGCAGTACAATCAATCCTGGTTTCACCCTTCATAAACTTGAGATTTCTTATCGTACACTATTATTTGGCAACCAGAGTGTTCACTTTGAAAATGCTAATGTTAGTATTTCTCCATTAATCCTGGTTTGATTTTATGTGCCTAATGACTTAAGAGTTTGCAAAGTACCTAATTGGAAAGAATTACTTTTCCATATTCTCACCTTCTAGTCCTTGTTCCTCCTGAGAGCAACAGGGGCTAAAATGACTTTTCAAATTCCTTGTGAGTGCTCTTACGATAAAAGTGGTGACTTGGTTCTTGGGTTTCTTTCCCACCAAAAGCCTGTGGGCAGTAATCTCAAAAGTTCATTTTTGCCGAAACCAGTTTGGCTCAGTGGATAGAGCCTCAGTCTGCGGACTGAGAGGTCCTGTGTTTGATTCCGGTCAGGGGCATGTACCTTGGTTGTGGGCACATCCCCAGTGGGGCATGTGCAAGAGGCAGCTGATCAATGATTCTCTCTCATCGACGTTTCTAACTCTCTATCCCTCTCTTCCTCTCTGTAAAAAAAAAAAAAAAAAAAAAAAAAAAAAAAAAAAAAAATCAATAAAATATATATATTTTTAAAAAGTTAATTTCTCCTTCATATTTATTCTCTATTTTTTTTCCTTTATTCTACTCCTGGTCATTCTTTCCAGGTCATTTGCTATCTTGCACTCTTGTTTCCATAAAAAAGAAAGAAAGAAAGAACGAATTTAGCAACTTGGGGATTATCCTGCCCAAGGTTTTCTCTTTATGGAAGATGTCAGTGCCAAAGCCAGCCAAATAGATAGTAGAGCTGGGCTTGAACCTGAGAGGCTATAGTCTGACTAGATGTCCTTCATAGACATCACGCTGCCTTTAAAGCTACCTGTCAAAGGAAACATACACCCCAGGATAATATGTGCTTTTCTTATACTGGCAGTATGCTGACATTTGATTACTGCTGCAACAGGGGTCTACCCCGTTATATACTACTTCACAGATTATATCGTTATGTTTTTTCGTTTTTCCCGAGTGCACCTGTTCAGCTAGGAATTACATAATCACTGAACCAATTATTGAGCATCTACCTTGTCCCAGGCATAATACTGGCTTCAGAACTATGAAAATTACCAGGTTTTTGGCTTGACTTTAACTGGAAATATTTTTTTGGACTTGGGTCAACTCATTCCACATTGGATTTTTAGTAACTACACGGTTTTAGTGTAAATGGTCCTATAAGTATGAGGAAATTGATAACAAGAACTGAACTTTGCCCTGGCCCATGGAGTTCAATGGTTAGAGTGCGAGCACCAAAGGGTCAGGGGTTCAGTCCCAGGGCAAGGGCAGGTGCCTGGCTTGTAGGTTCAATGCTGGCCTGGCAAGGGCACAGCAGGTGTGTCTCACAAGGGTGTTTCTCTCTCTCCCTCTCCCTCCTTTCCACTTTCTCTAAAAAAATCAATAGAACAAATATCCTCGGGTGAAGATTAGCAAACAAGCAAACAAAGAAACAAACTAACAGCATCAAAACTCAACTCTTAATAAGGCGTTGAAGACAGACATTGGAGCCTTTACCTACGCAGTTAGGATTTGACACGTGCAGAAGTCCCCAAGAACTTCGCTTTACATGCCACCACGTGTGGTTTTCACAGGCTCCCAGATTTGCTATAAAAATGCCAACGGAGCCAAAACCGGTTCGGCTCAGTGGATAGAGCCTGGTAGGCCTGCTGACTGACAGGTCCCAGGTTTGATTCCAGTCAAGGACACATGTACCTTGGTTGGGGGCATATCCCCAGTAGGGGGTGTGCAGGAGGCAGCTGATCAATGTTTCTCTCTCATCGATGTTTCTAACTCTCTATCCCTCTCCCTTCCTCTCTGTAAAAAAATCAATAAAATACATTTTTTTAAAAATGCCAACAGATGGATAATCTCGGGTAATCGGTTCCCTTTGAGGCCTTTTCTCTTTCCCTTGCGGTGGGCTCCCCGTCCAGGAAAGCCTTCGGGACGAGGGACGAGCGCCCGGGGTGCGGGCGGCCGTGCGCGGGGGCTGGCCCAGGGCGCATCCCGTCAGCGCTGCCCGCCGGGTCGGGTCGTGTCCCGGCCGCGGCCGATCCCACTTCCGCCCCCGGACGCGGGGGGGCGGGGCCGGCGCCGTCCGCTCTTCCTGTCCCCGACCCCCACCCTCACCCTCCCCGCCCCTGCCCTCCGGGGACTGACTCCCTGCGCGGGGACATGGCGGCGACCTTTTGGGGACGTGGTTGCTTCCTTAGGTCCTGCAGGTGGGACCCTCCCCGACTCTCCCCTGAGCTCCCAAAGGCAGCGGCGCGGGGGACCCCGAGCCACCCAGGCCCGGTCCCCCGCTGCAGGGGGGCCTGGCCGGGCGGCGGCCGCCACTACCGCGCCGCGCGCTGCGCCGAGTTGAAGCAGCCCCTGGCCATTGAGGAGGTGGCCCCCCGCCCTGTCGGGCCTCGCGAGGTAGGGCGACTGGCCTGTCCGTCCCCGGGGCCTCTGGACACCCTCTCAGTTCCCCGCCGCCATCACACACCGCCCGCCAGATGGAGTTCCCAAGCGCGCAGCCAGGGGGCAGCTTCGCGGTGGGCCCATTCATTGAGGGCTCACCAAAAGGGCGAAAGGTCTGAGGAAGGTGGTTCTCCCCAAAACACCAGTGGAGAACCGCTTTCAGAACGCCCCCGGGAGCTGTCGTTGCCTTGGAAACAGAGAATTCTGACTAGCACACCATTTTTGCATAGCCACCTGCAGGGTATGGATGTAACGCAGATAAATGGACCCCATCCGTTGCTGTCTCTTGGGTGTCAGCATCTAATTATCTGCCCTCCTTCTTCCCCTAAACCAGCGACGTCCACTGGAATATGTGTTTTGTCTTGTGCCCCCCTGGGCTGTCCTGCAGTGGATGGGGTTCAGGGTGTGGGTATTTCCAGTGAAATGGGGAAGCCACTTGGGCCTTGTGGGTTGATCCCTCTGGTGACACAAGCCGGCATGGAGAATGAGCGCTTTCTGAGTTAGGTGCAGCAGGCGGTGAGCCTCAGTGTGAGGGACCCCTGGTGAGAGGGAGACATGTGGCTTCGGCCCCCCAGTGCCACTAACGGGGACCTGCCGGCTAACTGGATTATTTGGGTGAGCACGTGATGGCAGCCGCTCAGCTTCCTGGGACTCAGATGCTGAAAGACATGAATCCTCCAATCATCCGTGAGGCAAGGTGGAGTGGCTTGAGGTCATGTGTGTGTTGCATATGTAAACTATTTTAGGCAACTGCAGGCTAGAATTGAAATTCAATAAATCTAGGAGTTTTCACGGCAACATAAATTTATATTAAGCGAATTCTATTAAGCAAACGATGTTATAAATATCCAAGTGGCCCTTGGCAGAAGAAAAGTTTCCCCACCCCTGGTCTAAAGAAACTGCTGGCTACACTGCTGCAGGGTTGCCTCAGCTTCAGTGCTGTTTTAAAATATATTTTATTGATTTTTTACAGAGAGGAAGGGAGAGAGATAGAGAGCTAGAAATGTTGATGAGAGAGAAACATCAACCAGCTGCCTCTTGCACACCCCCTATCGGGGATGTGCCCGCAACCAAGGTACATGCCCTTGACTGGAATCGAACCCGGGACCTTTCAGTCCGCAGACAGATGCTCTGCCACTGTGCTGTTTTAAAACATAAGCTGGTGATCTAACTCTAGCCTGCAGATGATTCCTGATTCCCAAGACAGCTGATCTTGTTACTCTCCTGCTTAAAATTCTTTCACGTCTTCCCATTATTCCTACCTTGAAGACTAGGATGATCAATAAAGCCTATAAACCCGTGGATGGTATAGGCCCTGCTCTCTAACTCCATCTCTTTCTCCTATTTGTGCTCTAGGCTTACTGGTTTTTCTTTTGTCCCCACCACATGACATTGCTTTTGGCAGTGCCAGGATTCTCTCACCTATTGTGAATAGTTTAACTCTTGGCTGTCCTTAGTTCAAGTGTTACTTTCTTAAGGATTTCTCCTGACTTGCCCAAAAGGTTAAGTCTCCCCACATTATGCCTTCATAGCATCATATATTTCTATTTTTAATATTTTGTGTGGAAATTGTCATTTAACATGTAAATACTCACAGTTATTTGGTTAAATATCTGTCTTCTCTACCATGCTGTTTGCTCCATGAAGGCAGGGAAATTGTCCATATTGATTGCCTCACGATGGTGCATAGTGACTTAGTTCAATACCTGGCATATAGTAGGTATTCAGTAAATATTTTGCTATAATTCAATTACTGTCTCCATGGATATGTACTGATCTGCTCTGTTTCCTTTATAGGTCAGAGTTGATGTCCATTTCTGTGGAGTTAACTTTGCTGACATTTTGGTTTGCCGTGGCCAGTATCAGGAACGGCCCCAGCTTCCCTTCACACCTGGTAGGTATGGAGGGGCCCAGGGCCTGCTGCAGGGAAGGAAGACATCCTTTCAGAACCATGCGCTCCATCTATGACTCTACCCCGGTGGTACCTGCCCACTGTCAGTGAATCTCAGACATGTCAGCCTCTCCACTCATTAGAAGCACTAGATTGTGGGAAATTTCTGACTATTTTACCCTTATTATATCTCTCAGTTTAGCATTGTAACTGACTCATAGTAGGTGCTCAATAAATATTTTAAAAATGAACAAATGTATGCTCACATATCATTCTGTCCATTAGAATTCTGATCCCAGTCATCATTGATCCTAGTCATTTCCTTTTGTTCCTTAACATTGCCTCAAAAAAAATTTTTTTTCAGCTAAAACTCTTATTAAAAAAATATTTTTATTGATTTCAGAGAGGAAGGGAGAAGTAGAGAGAATTAGAAACATCAATGATGAGGGAGAACTATTGATCAGCTGCCTCCTGCACGCCCCCCACTGGGGATCCAGCCTGCAATCGGGCACGTGCCCTTGACTGGAATCGAACCCTCCAGTTCACAGGCTAAAACTGTATCCACTGAGCCAAACTAGCTAGGGCAAAACTCTTATTCTTTACATATTCCCAAAGAAACTGATTATCAAAGGATCAGAAAGAAGGAAAGAATTTATACATTTCTAGTAGCACATTATCTTCTCTGATTTTCATTATGCCCCATTTGATTACATTTAAATTCTGAAAATGTGGACAAATGATTGATTTTTGTTGTTGAAATTTATTTAAACAGGTATACTAAGTGTAGTTCAGCATGTATATGCTGCATGTATATTTCATACAGAAATGTACTGTTAAGGATATAGTAATTGCAAAATAGTTGCTGTGTTTTGGCCTTAGGGTGTTTGGTTGTGTCTCAACAGCTGGAACCATTTCCCTCTGTTTTTATTTGCTGAAATACTGGATAGAGAGAAGATGTCATGTCATACTCAATTGAGTTAGTCCTCTGGCAGCTCAATTGGGAAATGTATGATCATTAAATTCAGAAATTTTGGAGGTGGAAGAGGAAAGGGCAGACAACACTAATTTATCCAGTTGAGCCAAGTACTGTATGCATAAATATGGTTCATGTCCTGAGGGCTCACAGTACAGAAGAGGAGACATGGCATCCAGTATGATGAATATCGTAATTAGGGTGCTATAGGAGCCCAAGCCCCCAGTGATCAGATTCTAAAGTATTTGTGTATCCTCCATGCTTTCACTCATTCTTGAAATTTTTATTTGTGTCCTGGTTAAGAATGGGGCTGCTATAGCTTTTCAGCTTCTGATCGTAAAAATCTTTTTTTTTTTTTTAATTTAATTTTATTGATTTTTTACAGAAAGGAAGAGAGAGGGATAGAGAGTTAGAAACATCAATGAGAATCATTGATCAGCTGCCTCTTGCACGCCCCTTACTGGGGATGTGCCCGCAACCAAGGTACATGCCTTTGACCAGAATTGAACCCAGGACCCTTCAGTCTGCAGGCCAATGCTCTATCCACTGAGCCAAACTGGTTTCAGCTGATCATGAAAATCTTAAGTTCACTTTCCTGCGATTTGGGTACAAAACTCTTCCCCCTCCTCCCTGGGTGAGTGAGGGGAGGCACTTAAGCTTTTCAGTTTCAGAAAGCTTGTGGATATGAATCTTCTGACCTCCATGGTGCTGGACTTTACAGATAACCTAATCTCAAAACCATTTGTTTTAGGAATGGAATTTTCTGGGACAGTATTGGAGACAGGCACAGATGTCAGCACAGTGAAAAAGGTAAATTTGTTGAAATTTAGAGAATTGATGTGTATGTAGCTTTGAGAAACACACCACCTCATTTGTAGCCAAAGGGTTTTGTGTCTCCTGGTCTTTGTCAGAAGACACCAAAGGGAAACTGAGATGGAGGGGGGAGAAATGAATTCTGCATTGGGAGAAGGAGGGCAGTAGAAGTGCCTTGCTTTATTAAACTTTCATTACCAACAAGAGGTCTTCAGTGGCTAAGAGGATAGGAAATTATCAAGTCTCAGCTTCTTGTGAAAAAAAATTAACATTGGGATTCTAACTCATATCTAAATTCATATTCTAATTGATACTCATATCATTGTCCAAAATATGCTCAGGTTGGCTTGGCATCCTGGTGGGGAGGTGGAGAAAAAGGCTGAATTATTTATTAATCATTAACTCTAAATAGATAGGGCAAACCTGGGGGGTCGTATGGAATCAGAAAGAAAGATGCATCTGGCCGAGACCGGTTTGGCTCAATGGATAGAGCGTCGGCTTGGGGACTGAAGGGACCCGGGTTCGATTCGGTCGAGGGCATGTACCTTGGTTGCGGGCATATCCCCGGTAGGGGATGTGCAAGAGGCAGCTGATCGATGACTCTCTCTCATCGATGTTTCTGGCTTTCTGTCTCTCTCCCTTCCTCTCTGTACAAAATCAATAAAATATATTTTAAAACAAACAAAAACAAACAAACAAACAAAAAAAAAGAAAAGAAAAGAAAGATGCATCTGAACTTACCTTACCGATATTTTCCCTTCAGGGAGATCGAGTAATTGGTGTGAGTGGCCTTAATGGAATGGCTGAAGAATGTATCACTGACCAGAAGGTATCCCTCTCTCTCAATATCAATGGTTAGGTATTTTAAAAAAATTTCCTTCCTTTTCTTTAATTTTTATCTACCCCTCATTTTACCCCTCATTCTTCATGCCCCTCTACCCCACCCCTTTTTCTTTGTATTTGTTTGGTCATACCTTGTTTTTCAGCCAAGCACTTCTTTCTTTCAAATGCTAAATCCCTTTTCCAGTATTGGTGTGATAGCCCTTGCACAGAACTTTGTGTGGAGTGGTTTAATGAAAAAACATTCTATTTTATGAGCCCTGGAAGCAACTGGCTGGCTGTTCAATTGGACCATAGTTAGGTAGTTTTGGTAGAAAAACTGTTTTGAGGTATTAAACCAGATACAATGGGTTTCTCTCCCACGGGAGCTTGTGAAAGAGATGGCCCTGGGAATGGAGCCAGCCAGGGTGGCCAGATCTGGTTGTGCAGGATGTGAATGGTGCCCGCTAGTGGAGACAAGTACATATTTCCCCCCTCAGGTTTATTGAGGTAAAGTATACCTAACATCAGTTCACCCATTATACAGTAGAGTGGTCAGTGTTTCATTCTCCATAAGTTTGATTGGTTCCCTTCCTGAGCAGGTGCAACTTGAGGATTTTTGAAGACTGATGCGTCCAAGTCTTGAACTTGGCCACAGGTTGCTTGGTTTTGACTTCTACTAGGCCTTGTTCCTGACAGGCACTTCCCTTTGCAAACCAATCCCTTAATCAAATCATAATATTTGCTGAGCAGCCTTTAGGAACAGGTACGTATGGCATCACTAAGGTCACTGTTATTTCTTTTGTAGACATTGTGGAAGATTCCAGAAAAGGTGCCCCTCCGGGAAGCTGCTGTCCTGCCCGTATCCTATGGTACTGCTATTATGGCCCTGGAGCATCGGGCACGTACCCAGCCTGGGTAAGGACTGTGTAGACAACAGAGAGCTGGATAGGATCCTTCTCCTATATCGGAAGTGCCCTGCCCCTTCCTCTCCCTTGCCTGACCTTTGGCTCATGTCCGTCTGTCTAAGGAAAGGCCAAAGAAAGTAGTGACTGGAGATGGGGTTTGGTGATGGTGGGACTATCCTTTTGTCTGAGAGAGAATGGTAGAACTTGGCCAGTATGAATTTGGATAAAAATCCCTTACAGACCCTCGGGATATCACCTTCTAGAAAGCCTTCACGTTTAGAGAGTTGTTTTATTTATACGTTCTTCCCTCTGGCTTTAGTGGAGGCCTGTGGTATTTGTTTCCGAGAGGCTTGGTTGGGTAGATTTAACTGGGATATTTTAAATATCAGAGGTGCTGAAGTCCCCCCCACCCCCTTTAACTGAGTTTACCTCCTCTGCCTTCTGTACTTTTCAGAGAGCCTGAATCACCCCACTCAGAGAGATGGGTTTAGTTGGCCCGTGGCCATTATGTGATCACCACCTTCTAAAATTCAGCAGTGTTTAGTATGAGAATGATTTAGGTCAGAATTTCTGGAGCAGAAATTGAGTGGTAGCTCAAAAGAAGAGGCTCCCTAGAGATATTAAGGAATATTTCTCCCAGGAAGTTTTCAAAACTGGACCACATTAGTACCACCCAGCCCTAAAGGCTGGGGAAGGGATGCACATAAAGGGTTGAATGAAATGGCCTCGAAGTTCTCTTGTTGCTTTAAAATGTCCTGGTTTCAAAATGTTCGTGAGATTGTATTGCTCAATGCTTTCTGGTTTCTGAAGTAGCGTTCGTCTTTCCCTGTCACAGAGAAACTGTTCTAGTGACGGCAGCAGCTGGAGCCACAGGCCTCGCAGTGATAGACGTGGCTACAAATATTCTCCAGGCCAAGGTATTCGTATGTTAGAGTCTCCACTTAAACGAATTATACCACAAAACATGGTTCTCAAACGTGGAATGTATTCATTGGTTTAGCAGAAACCACATGCAAGGCACTGGGGATGCAAAGTTACCTAGAAACAGAGCCTTGCCACCTGTTTGTCTGTGGATGAGGGAGGGGTCCTAGGAGTAAATCACTGGCCCTTCAGTAACTGGAAACTGCAAGGTCCAATTTGCTTCACATGTGATGCTCTAAACTTCCGACACCTCACACTTCAAATTTAAACTTAGATGCTACTTTTTAGGGAAGTATCCTTTGTCCCTCAGGAAATATTAGTCCTCTCCCACCCCCCACACTATTTGTATATGGTGTCAGGGCATCTTATACTTCTCATTCATAGTACACACCTTATACACCTCAATATATGCTTAATCTTTTACTTGTGTCATTATTAGACTAATTTATCTCCCTTACTGGACTGAAATCCTTATGAAGGCAGGGACAGTGTCTGCTTGGTTCATTATTATAGTTCCAGTGCCTGGCATGGTGCCTAGACCACAGTAGGCACTCAGTAACTTCTTTTAATGAATGAATGACTTAACAAATGAAAGAAAGTGGTATCACAGAAGGAGGGATTTTTAGAGACGGTGGACATTTAAGCTGAGTTTTTGAAGAACTGGTAGCAGTTGAATAGAGGAAAAAGTGAAGTGAAGGCCATTTTAGTGGTCGGAGGACCTATTAGAAGACAGAGGAGGAGGAATTAACATGATGCATTCAGGGAATTGCAAATAGCATCTATGGGGCAGAGGATCAGGAGAACGGTGGAAAATGACTCTGTAGAGGTGGGCAGAGGTAAGATCAGGAGGTGCTGGAGAATGTGAACACTTATTGGAAGCACATGAGGGTGTTAAGTAGGGAAGTGATCTGATTATCTTTGAATTTCCAAAGTGCACTCTGGAAGCTGTGGGAATGAGGGATGGGGTGAGGTCAGGTGTAAGTCCATAGGTGGTAGGGCAGACTGTTGGAGCAATCCCAGCCAGAGGTGATGCTACTTGAACCAGGGTAGTGGAGGTGATGAATCGAGATGTACTATAATAAATTGGAAGAAAATTGAGAATTTGTTCCCTGGAAAGCATTCTAATATAGTTGAAGGCACAACGACTTAGAAGTTACCCTCACCTAGGTTCAAATTCTAGCTCTGCCTGTAGTGTAATCACTTCTGTTTCCTCATTGGTAATGCTTTCCTTGTAGGGTTGTTGTGGAGATATTGAAATTACACATGCATTGTGCCTGTTAGAGGTGATGGCATGTCAGTAGGACTCTCTTGAAAAGGGATCCTGTTATTATTAGACATGGAATGGGAAGAAGCAAACTAGGTTAATTTGTGGATTTGCCATTCGTTGGGATTGAGAACACAGGAGGACATGTCGGGTTCAGTTTTGGATGTTGTTGAGGGTGAGGTTCCCATGGAGCATGCAATTGGAGTATCCAGAAGGTGCCAGGATCTACAGGCTGGGAGATAATTGGATTGGTCTGGAATTTTGGCAGGTGGCATCTCTCCTTCTCACATGAAATTCCTTTGGGAAGGACTGTGAGTTCTGAAAGCAATCTTAGATACCAGGAGGCTCCTTGTGGATATTAACACATTTCCTGTCAAAAACAAGGGCTTTTAGCACCTCTCTTAGCAGGGGAACCACACTTAGTCTAATTGCCTAGAACCAGTGACTATTTAACACTTACGGATTAAATTGTTCCATTTGTTTTGAGTGTTGACAGGAGGTTAGTAGAAAGGTTCACTTCAATTCAGATTCTAATCTAAACAGCAATAATGGTTTCAGGGTAAAGCAAACAAGAATAAAATAATGTCATCGTGCTCTACTCGGAACAGGTCATTTTGATAACATCTTCCATCCACAGCATTTCGTGTTGCTGTCACAGTGCCGCCACAGCTGTCTCTAACCCTTGATCCTCACAAAACCCCTGGGCGATGGGTAATGTAAAGTGTTTATTATCCCTATTTCACAGATAAAGAAAGTGAGGCGCCAAGAGGGAAAGTGATTCACAGCAGGTCTCCCCAGGACCTAGTGAGAATCCTGGGATGGAATCAGGTGCCTGACCTGGTCAGGTGTTGCCCACTGTGGCACTGTGTGCTGACTGCCCTCTGGGACCTGCAGGGTAGCTTTCAGTTTCAAATTGTTATGGGTGAGTTTGGAATCTTCTAAGGCCACTGATGTTTTTGGACGTCACCTTGGGGCCAACGTGCTGCCCCGTGATAAGGCACCCCTAGGCACCTGAGTGTTTGAAACTTTTCTGGAGATTTCCAAACCCCAGACCTCCTCACAGTATGCCCTGCAGCCACTGATGCCATCTTTGTCACGCTGTAGGCATGATGGAGTGGAAAAGCATGGGCTTTGGAGCCAGGCAGCAATGGGTTTGAATACGTTTTTTATCACCTACTACCTGGAAGATCCTGCATTAATAATTTCTCTGGTTCTACATCTCCATCTATAGAATGAAAGTAACTATACCTCCTCATAATATTCTTATGAGGTTTAAGTAGAATAAGTGATTGCATATGTGTAACAATAGATTCAATTTATCCAAGTTTTGCAAGTGATTTACATATAGTAGTATTCCACTGAATTCTTAAAATAAAGATGAATATATGAATGAGGTAACTGATGCTCAGAGAAGTAGGCAGGCAGTATAGAGAGAAGTTAAAGCATGAACTTTGGAGAAGGATTACCTGAGCTTGGTTTCCAGTTCTGTCTCCCATTAGCTGGGTGGCTTTGGGCAAATTACTTAAGTTCTTTTGCCTCAGTTTCTTTATCTCTAAAATGGGATAATAATAGTATGTATATCAGTGGGCTGTTAATATATTGAGTTAATATTCTATATAACTCTCTCTCTAAAATTTAGAATATTGCCTAGCATATACTAAATACTATGTAAGTGTTAGTTCTTAATAAGTAATTTGCCTTAGGTAATGAAGCGGTTAGTATCTGTCCAGATCTTCACATTAAATCTTGTTTTATTGTCTGAAAAGCCTTTCTCGTTTTTTGCTGCAGCTTGGTATTTAGTTCATGTCCTTACTAATCGACTCATAGTAGATGCTTAGGAAATGGTGGTTTTAGTTTGCATTTGGAGAAGACTTACCGAGGATCTCCTGAACCATCTCCTGGCTAGGCCTTCATTGGGGGTCCAGGATTCTTGGAAGTGTGGATCCCATGATGGGGCATGTAGGGTCCAATGCAATGGTGCTGTGTGCTGGGGCTGATGCATTGAATTGAGGCTGATGCTAGGCCAGCAAGGTCCCATTGGTTTCCTTAATTAGCACCCTTTGGTTGCACATTGGTTGGACGTCATGAGCTCCCCTTAGGACATATTCTGAAACTCAGAAGGTTTGTGTTCTTTATGCAGGTAATAGCTGCCGCTGGAAGCGACGACAAGTGCCAGCTGGCCATGCAGAGGGGCGCACAGTCCAGCGTGAACTACAGTCAGGGCAGCCTGAAGGAGGCAGTGAAGAAGCTGGTGGGCAGTGGCGGAGTGAATGTGGTCATCGACACCGTGGGGGGAGACATCTTCCTGGACGCTCTCAGCAGGTGCGTGGAGGGGTCTTTCCAAAGTGGGCTCAACCTGGGGCTCTGCGGGACCTTCCCGGACCTCCGCCGCTCCTGGTCTTGCTACTCGTTCGTCTTTGCTGCTCACTTCTCTGCAGGCATTGGCACCAATGAGAACAGCTGAGTGGGGGCGAGGAAAGAACTAGAAGTGGAGGGAGAAATCAGGAAATGCTTAAATATAGCAACAACAAAATATCCCACTGGAAAATATCCAAGAAATGACTGCAGACTCTCTAGTTGGCAACATCTAATGCTTTAGAAATTATACATGTGTTCAATTCAGCTGTGCCTGCCCCCACTAACCACTTTATGTCCATGCTGTGGGTAATTCTTGAGGAGATCATTGTTCAGATGTTAACTGTGCACACTCGTTTGATCTTGCTGGATTTTGAAGTAGCCAGCAGGCTAGATATCCCTTTGATTTGTTTTATTTTTTTAAAAAATCACTGGAGAATTGGTTGTCTCTATATCAATTTTCATTCTGGTTTTAACCAGGGACTCAGGAGTTCTTTTTTTTTTTTTTTTAAATATATTTTTATTGATTTTTCACAGAGAGGAAGAGAGAGGGATAGAGAGCTAGAAACGTCGATGAGAGAGAATCATCGACCAGCTGCCTCTTGCACACCCCCTACTGGGGATGTGCCTGCAACCAAGGTACATGCCCTTGACCGGAATCGAACCTGGGACCTTTCAGTCCGCAGACCGACGCTCTACCACTGAGCCAAACCGGTGCTGGCCTCAGGAGTTCTTTGTAACATGGGTTTCATTTCTCCTGTCATCCTAGCAAGCATAATTTTGTGGTTTATGTCAGTGTAAAGTAGAAAAGTAGAAGCAAAGAGAGCAGCTTACCCATGGTGGGGTGGGGGGATGGACCCAGTTGGTGCTCTAGCCCCCAAGTGTCCCTGCAGTGTGTCCAGGATGGTGCTTGGAGAAGCAGCAAAGGAGAGAGTGTGTTGACTAAATGGAGAGCCAGGACAGAGAGCCCCTAGTAGTCACTTGCCTTCTGGATAACAGTGTTTTGACAACAGCTTCTCATTTCCATTCTAAAGAAGAAAAGCAAATCACCAAATCAACATGCACATATTTCATATCAAAGATGTTTACAAACTGTATTTTTATAACTCACTGCTTAGCACTCACTGTATGGCACTTCTCACAATGAGCTGCAGGAAACTCGCCACTTGAATTTTTTGTTGATTGTTCAAAACTCTCCAGAGAAGCACATAACTTAAAGGAGTCCTGAGGTGAGTCTTTGTGTAAAGCAAATGATGCTTCATTAAAGTATCTGGCTTCTTATTCCTGCTTCCTAAGTTCAAGGGCTTCAAACTGAGTTGTCTCCGAGCACAGCATATGGAATGACATTTGTTTACACCAAGTTTCCTTCCATAAAGTAGTGGCATAGTTAAACAGACAGTCTTGATTCTAAAGTGGGCCTGCTTAGAAAACTGGCTACTTCCTCTGCCCCCTCTAATGCCTCGCTTTTGGCTTATATTTATAGTTCCCTACTGAAGATCCAAAGTGATACAAGATGGGTCACCCCTGACAGTTTGTTAGATCAAGAGGAATTTCTAGCTGGAGGTTTAATACATGTTTCTTTTAAAAAAAATTGTGGTTAATATATATATTACTTCCTAGTATTTCTCATTTTAACCATTTGTAAGTGTACAATCCGGTGGCATTGAATGCTCACAACATTGTATAACCTTCCCCAACAAAATCTCTGTGTCCATTAAACAATAACTGCCTTGTTTCCCCCTCCCAAGCCCCTGGGAAGCTGTTATACTTTTTGTCTGTATGAATTAATGTACATTGTTTTTTTTTATTACTTTATTCTAAATTTTTTACTATGGCAAAAATTTATGTGACATAAATGTGCTATATTGACCATTTTAAGAGTACAGTTCAGTAGTGTTAAGTAGATTTACATTGTTGTGAAACAGATCTCCAGGACTTTTCTGCACCCATTAAACAACAGCTCCCCATTCCTCCCTTCCTGCAGCCCTTGGCAACCACCATTCTCCTTTCTGTTTCTATGAATTTGACTACTTTAGACACCTGTTATAAGTAGAATCGTACAGTATCTGCCTTTTTGTAACTGGCTTACTTCACTTGGCATACTGTCCTTAAGATTCATCCATGTCGTAGAATGTGACAGAAAGTCCTTCCTTTTTTATTTTTAATATATTTTATTAATTTTTTACAGAGAGGAAGAGAGAGGGATAGAGAGTTAGAAACATCGATGAGAGAGAAACATCGATCAGCTGCCTCCTCCACACCCCCTACCGGGGATGTGCCTGCAACCAAGGTACATGCCCTTGACCGGAATCGAACCTGGAACCCTTCAGTCTGCAGGCCAGTGCTCTATCCACTGAGCCAAACTGGTCTTGGCGAAAGTCCTTCCATTTTAAGGCTGAAATAATACTCTATTGTCAAGTATATACACATTTTGTTAATCCATTCATCAGTTGATGGACATTTGAGTTGCTTATACCTCTTGATTATGACAGACAGCACTGCTATGAATAAGGTGTGCAAATATCTCTTTGAGAACCTGCTTTCAGTTCTGTTGAAGTTAGACCAGAAAGTGGGATAGCTGGATTGCATATAAATTCTATTTTTAATTCTTTTGAGGGAGCTCCATACTGTTTTCCATAGCAGTTGCACCATTTTGCAGTTCTACCAACAGTGCCTGAGGGTTCCAGTTCTCTACATCCTTGCCAACACTGCTTTTCTTTTCTCTTCTGTTCTTTTTAAATAGTTGCTATCCTAATGGATGTGAGTGTACATTGTTTTAATTTTTTTCCCTTCTCCTTTTTTCCTCAGCCTAGCTTGGGAGGGCAGGATCGTGGTGGTGGGTTTTGCTGGAGGAACCATTGCTTCCGTGCCGGCCAATCTCCTGCTCCTGAAGAATATTTCTGCCATGGGTGTGTACTGGGGCCGATACCAAGACCGGAACTTCCCCGTCTTCTCCAGGAGCCTGTCCTCGGCTCTCCAGTACTGCCAGGAAGGGCGCACACAGCCATACGTCGGAAAGGTTTTTAAGCTGGAGGAGGTGAGATGCTCTTAAGGAATGTGGTGTGGATAAGGCTAGGAAGTAATCTGTGTCAAACTACCAAACAGCTTCTGTCCAGATTCTATAAATCCTCCCTTATGGAATGAAAAGGTGAACATGCTCCATGGAATAACGGGGTCTCTCAGGCTGGGACATGGTCACAGGATTTCTCCCAGTCCTCTGTGTTGTCTGGCCTGAACCCAGTGAGCTGCCTGAGAAGCAGGACCTGTGAGGCCCATGCAGGCAGTGAATTTTGATGGCTTTCTCTACATTAGTGGTATTCCAAACAAAGGAACATGGTGGTACTTTAGGAAATAATTTACCCGTGTTGATGTGAACTCTGAACTCCACAACATACAAGGCTAAGAAGGAAGCACTTAACCTTTGATTTTAAAATACAGACACTTTAAAGTACAACCAGATTATCTAAGCTGGGGTTCTGTGAAGAAACACTAAATCATGCCCAGCATCATAAGAGTATAATTCACCCATTAGTCACTGTAGTTAATTCTGTTGGCTATTCACTCCTTTTTTACATTCCCCCACAGTCCCATTAATGTGGCTTACACTTCCTCCAAAGTGTAATTGTGCGCATGCATATGCAAAATCGTTGCTTATGCAAATCTATTAGGCATTCACTGCGAATTCTTTTTTTCTTTGGCTTAATTTGTTTTAATGTTCAAAAAACTGTTTTGGTAACTCTAGTCTGCCATGGATGGGGGCGATGTTTTGTTCATATGCAGATTAGCGGAGCCCAAGCTGTCAGGCCAGACTTCACTGTTCACCGGCCTTCCAGTTACATGCTTTTCCCCATGATGAAGCGCATTCTTCCCAAACACTGGTTCTTTCTCTCCTTGGTATGTCAGTCAAGAAGGCAGCGCTCAGTGCAATAGAGATAACCCAACTGGCCATCAGAAAACTGGTTGGATTCTAATTCCAGCTTTGGCCTCTTCTGTGTTCACCTTTGTTGAGTTCTCACCTTCCTGACCTCCAGTCAACACGTCTCTAAAATTGAGGGGCAGGACAGTGGCTTTCAAACTATACTTCCAGAGCCACAGTTGGGTCTTGGAGGTGGGCAGGTGTAGACTGGAGCTTGCTACCTCTGGACCCCCATCTGTGTTGGAGTTGAAGTAGGTGTAAAAAGTTTTTACTTTTCTACTTACATTTTTCTCTTAAATAAAGGTTTTGTGGTTTAAAACTTGCAAAGCTTAACACTTCTGACTCTCCTTCCAACTTTTGGCTTTTATCATATGACTTGTCAACAGAGGTTTGTTTTACCGGAGGCTCAGGTATAGTTGTTGATAGAGAATGAGGGCTAATGGGCAGAACTGTCTCTGCTCTGCATTGATGTGCTCTAGGCGCTGCTCAGGCATGAAAGAAAGCCAGATTACCCACATTAATGCTCTCTCTCCTCTTAAACATGAATTATCCAACTGCTAACCTCCTTTCAGTTTCCATTTACCCTTTTCTTTTCCCATGAGAGCTGTGCATGTAGGATTTTTCTAGTTCTTCCCACTCTGTGGACCTTCCTGTTATCAGTTGGCTCTCAGAGGCCCTGCTCCCTAACAATTTCAAGTATCTCATTCACACACCATCCATTTACTACTTCTTCTCTTTTTGTTTTCAATATGCAAACCACTTAGAGTAATAATAATAATAATAATAATATAATAATAATGGCAGATTCTATACATTAGGTGCTTAACTATGGGTGAAGAACTGTGCTAAGTACTTTACATGCATTTTCTCATTTAATCTTCATAACAGCTCTGAGGAATAAGACATTTTTACCACGTTATGTTAGGGTAGGCAGTTAGATAGACATGAGCAGAGTGCAGGGCAGAAAGCCCAGGGTGCCTAGCAATGGGCAAAATTGGGAAAACAAGTATTGTAGGGTGGGACCTGCCCTTAGGGTGACCTCTTCTTCCCTAGCATATCGCTGGTCATGCACCCTTTAAGATGAAGGACCTAGTGCATTTTCTCTCTCTTTCTCCCTTGAGCATGTCTGTGCCTCTCCCCACCCCTTTCTTTCCCTGGTGTGTTCTTTCTGGAGCACACCTGCACCTTTCTCCTCTTCTCTCCCCAAGGCGTGTTTGCTTTGCCTTTCTTTCTCTTCAGCTCCAAGGGCTCCTTTGCTTCTGTAACTTATTTCCTGAGTGCATGCAGCTCAGCTGGCTCACTTCTTCCATAGCTTCTACTACTGTGACTTTCTAAATTAACTTTTGCTTGTATTTGAGTTCTTGGCTCTGAATTCTTTCTTAGCCAAACTCAAGGGCCGAGGTTTAACTTACTTCCCTGGTAACATCTGGTGCGATTCGCCATTCACTGTTACAGATGACGAAACCAACACTTGTAAAGGCTAAGGCACCGGACCAATAATGTGTAGTGAGTGACAGACCTGGAATCCAGTCCACATTAATCTGACACCAGAATCTGAGATAGATTGCTGCTTTTCCTCATCCCCATGGACTGTTTTGACATGCAGGGGGTTTCATACGGCCTCTGGATCTTTGGAGGAGTCCCACGTGAACAGCAACCAGGGTGTGTCCCTCTGTAGCAATGGCCGCTTCAGAATCAGTGCCACACATTGTGTAGTTCGTCTCCTCTTTCCACTATTCACTGCAATTTCCCCCTCACCTTGGCTTCCCTGGGTAGCAAGGAAGCACTAGGGCATACATTCTGATTAGGCTTTTTTCCTAAGGAACCCAGGCTGACACTTAACTTTAACATTTATTTATTTCCATGTTTAATAATGCATGGCTTGACTTTTCTTAAAGTCAGGGTTTTTTTTAGTATAATTTGCACAGAGTAAAATTCGCTCTGAGTTTTGACCAACATATATAGTCATGTAACTATTGATATTTTATTACAATATATAGTCATGTAACTATTTCATTCATGTAACTATGTCATTACAATCAAGACATAGAACATTTTTTATCCCTCCAAAAAGTTCCCTTTTGCCCCTTTATAACCATCCCCTTTTTCCACCCCCCAACCTAGCAACCACTGATCTGTTTGCTTTCCCTGTAATTTTGCCTTTTGAAGATTGTCAAATAATTGGAATCATACAGTACATGGCCTTTTGAGTCTGGCCTCTTCAGTTTTGCATAATGCTTCTGAGCTTCACCCATGCTTTTGCATGTTTCAGTAGTTTGCTCTTTTTTATTGCGGAATAGTATTTCATTGTATGGATGTACCACCACTTGTTTCTTTATCAGTTAATGGGATATTTTTCAGTTTTGGGTGGTTCTAAGTAAATTGTCTATAAACATTTATGTTGGAGTTTTTTGTATAGACATGTTTTATTTTGTTTTTCAAATTTTAGGACTTAGATTTCTGGGACATGTGCTAAGTGTATGTTTAACTTTTTCTTTTCAAATTCACACAGACATTTATTTGGCTTTACTTACAGAGCAGTCCCCTTTCTCCCAGTTTCAACGGTGGCTAGATAATATCATTAGGAAAGAATGTCCATTTAAAGAAATCTGTGTGGAATCCTACGAATAGCTAATGTTGATGTTAGAAGGGGCAAGCTTGACTCTTGGCAGCTCGCTCTCCAGGCCTCAGTTACTGGGAAGCAATTCTTTTGCAGTCTCTGCAGCCCATGAAGATGAGGCCATTCCTATTGCATTCCTACCAAAATCCATTGCACATAGGTTTTCTGTGTGTGTGTGTGTGTGTGTGTGTGTGTGTGTGTGTGTGTGTTTTCTATTAGAAACTGGTGCTCCAGCATCACTATTTGTTAGAAAATGTCAGCATTTTGACTGTACTTGGTTTGCCACTCTATATTTATCTTTTAATAACTACCAAACGCTTTATCAAAGTGGTTGTCTTATTTTACATTCCCACCAATAGTGTAGGAGAGTTTTTGTTACTTTCATCTGCCAGAATTTATTGTTGACAGTTGCTTTCTTTAATGATAGGCATTTTAATAGGTATGGAGTAGTATCTGATTGTGGGTTTAATTTGCATTTCCCTAGTGCATAATGATTTTGAGTATCTTTTCATATGCACATTTGCCATCTGTATCTTTTTTGATGAAATGCGTTGAGTGACTTATAAAAGAAGGTTCAGATCAACTTGTATCAGAACAATGATATGATGAATATACTTCAGCTATGACAATGTATCAGTAACTAAATGTGTTTACCTTTTAAAAACAGTCCCACTCAGTCTCAGATATATTCATTCATTCATGAGTTTACTCAACTCATCAAACATTCAGTGGGTACATTCTGTATGCCAATCAAAAAAAGTAAGACTTAAGCAACTTATTTTTTAGTTGGAAAGATCTCAGGATAGTACAATGATGGGGGAAGATCTGGTTTCAAATGGGAGGCATGAATCAGCATAATGTATTTAGGGAACTATAGGTTACTCTGATTATTCCTGCTTGATGAGCTAATTAAAAACTCCAACAGCAGAACTTAAAACAAAAGCAGTATGCTCACCCTGACTCCAAATTCCAGGGTGCGTATCTGCAGAGACAATTTAGTTATGGCTGTATCCACTGTATGGCAGGGAATCGGAGTTCTGGGCACGGCCTATGTACCGGTATCTGCCTGGGCATCATCCCTCTCTGAGATGCAGCCTGTACAATACAGGAGGAAAATGTCCCCAGGTATCTAACTGAATTAGCTATCAAAACACTGATTTTAAGTCCTGCACTTTGCTTTTTTAGTCTTTCACTTCAAGCCTTATCATTCTTATTAAGCATCCCATCCTTAACATCACTGGTTGTCTGTTTTCCCAGCCCAGATAGAAACCACAGGGTGGGAAGGGACAGAGCTGGGTTATTTTTAGAAGCATCTGAAATCACAGCGGAAGTGGCAGCTGGACATAGAAGTAACAAAACTTCAAAACAGGAGGTAAAATAATGAATAGTCAAAATAATGAGATTCTCAAGTCATGGAACAAAAAGGTTATAAAAGGTTATTCCTCCCTCCCCCTCGTCCCCCCCTACCCCAAATATCCACTAAAGAAGACAGGTAAATAGGTGCTACATTTTAATAAAGATTTCTGTGCAAAGTGGTTAACAATACACATTAGCATCTGAAGTGACTATTTTCTTTTTGTGTTACCCTTTATTGGCAGGAGATTCCTCATTTCTCTAGGATGCCAGGTGAAAAAAGCATCAATATCTCGAATTATATTGTTTCCCCAAGTATTTTTGTTGTTGGGCTACGATAGGTTTCTGGGAACAAGTGACTTCTAACTGGCAGGGAGAGTGAGGCAGCTGTGAGGCACCGGAGGTGTAGCTTTGAGGGATTGACAGGCGGGGACCAGTGTTTCAAACATCTTTCTTAGACCCCTTCCAGCCCCTCTGAACGAGGCTAAATTTGTGTGGACTGGAAAGGGCTTGGTGAGGCACAGAGCCCCAAAAGACACGAGCTCTTGGCACCGGCTGCAGAGAGATTGCCACAGTTGATTTGCTTTCCTATTTTTTCCTTATTTATGTTTCTTAGGATTTTGGGGAGGATTTCAAGAGGAATGAGTTGTTTAATCCTAATTCTCATGTCAAAGTACCTTTTCATTTTTGTGAGTCCCGTCTTTGGCTTTTGTGTCTGCTTATTTACAGATGTCTGTATTTACTTACTAGAGATCTGGTGCATGAAATCGTGCACTGTGTTGGTGGTGGTGGGGGGTCCCTCAGCCTGCCTGTGCCCTCTCGCAGTCTGGGTGCCCTCAGGAGATGTCCGACTGATGGCTTAGGCCCGTTCCCCACGGACCCAAGTCAGCATTTGGACATCTTTAGCGCTGCTGCAGAAGTGGGAGAGGCTCCCACCACCGTCACTGCGCTTGCCAGCCGTGAGCCCGGCTTCTGGCTGAGCGGCGCTCCCCTTGTGGGAGCGCACTGACCACCTGGGGGCAGCTCCTGTGTTGAGTGGGATCAGGTCGAAAGCGGTTCTCTGATATCCCCTGAAGGGTCCTGGTTTGTGAGAGGCTGCAGGCCAGGTTGAGGGAGCCCACTGATGTACTGTGAGGTTGGCCATCTGGGAAGGGACCACAGGAGGGCTCCAGAGTGTGTCTGGCCCATAATGCTCAGTCCCAATCAGCTGGACCCCAGCAGCAAGCTAACCCACAGGTCAGAGCGTCTGTCCCCTCGTGGTCAGTGCATGTCATAGTAACTGGTTGACTGCCCCCTTGTGGTCAGTACATGTCATAACGAGCGTTTGAGTGGCCTTAGCATATCATTATTATATTACGCTTTGATTGGTTAAATGGCTGACTGGACAACTGGACACTTAACATATTAGATTTTTATTATATAGGGTTCCCTTTTATCCTCACTTCCCACACCTTTGCCTCCCCCAAGTTGGTCTTAAGTTACATAAACAAATGAGAGCACAGGGTTGTGCTGTAGATCTTATTCTGTTTCTGAAATTTTCACGCAGTGCTGTCTTTTAAAGTTCCATCTGTGCTCCTGGTTCTGTATCTGGTTCCTGACTCACTGCTGTGTAGGGGCCTAGATCCCTTCGCTAGGACGCACAAAAAGGTTGACTTGACCCACTGCTACAATAATCCGTTTTGCCTTTTACATTTAAGATGTAAGATCCATTTTAAGTTAATATTTATGAAAGATAAACGGGCATTATCTTGATTCATTTTTCATATGAGGTGTCCAGTGATTCCAGCACTATTTCTTAAATATATTGTATTGATTTTTCACAGAGAGGAAGAGAGAGGGATAGAGAGTTAGAAACATTGATGAGAGAGAATCATTGTTCAGCTTCCTCTTGCACACCCCCTACTGGGAATGTGCCTGCAACCAAGGTACATGCCCTTAACCGGAATCGAACCCGGGACCTTTCAGTTTGCAGGCCGACGCTCTATCCACTGAGCCAAACCGGTCCCAGCGACTGGCACTATTTCTTAAAAAGACTACCCTTTCTTCATTGAATTGCCTTGGCTCCTTTGTGGAATGATTACCTGACTGTATTTGTGGGGGCCTGTTCCATTGACCTGTTTGTCTATTCTTTCACAATATCACTCTGTCTTGATTACTGTGGCTGCTCTTTAACTTATGCTTTATAACTTGTACTTCTAAAAATAATTGGAGATAGACTGCAATTTCAGGCACACTGGAAACAGGACAGTTTTAATAAAAAGATAAAAACCGTAAAATATTAAATTACTGATCCTTCTACCAGTAGTTTCATTCTTTAAAAACCTAGAACACATAGATTTTACATGAAAGTATGGACGGGCCTGATAACTTTTTAAAAAATATTTTTATTGATTCCGGAGAAGAAGGGAGAGGGGGAGAGAGATAGAAACACCAATAATGAGAGAGAATCACCAATTGGCTGCCTTCCACACACACCCCCCCCCCACTGGAGACCGAGCCCACAACCAAGGCATGTGCCCCCTACCCAGACCAAACCTGGGACCCTTCAGTCTGCAGACTGACACTCTATCCATTGAGCCAAACTGGCCAGGGCCTGAGGACTTTTTACCTGCTGTTAATTATATGACAACAATGAAAATTGTTGTAGACAGATAAATTCTGAGATTGGGTTACTCGTAAATATTATTGTTTTCCTTTGTGTTTATGGTGATTAGTGTCACATAGTTAATTATATATAGTTCATTGAAGGCACATCTAATACTTTAGCTATTTTAAGAATTGAACCAGCAACAAATGTTAGTTGAAATGTACATGTATGCAAATCTTTCTACATAATTTGGGATTTTTTTTTTAGGTCAATGATGCTTTCCTTCATGTGATACAGCGCAAGTCCACGGGCAAGGTGCTCATCTCCCTCAAATAAACCCTCACCTCAGCAGCAAGAACAGCATGTCCACATCCAAACTCATCTTTCTAAAAACCTGATTTCCCTCCCGTGTTTCTAAAGTTGATGTCACCTTCCTTATTAATTCAGGTTCAAAATCTTTGCAAGTTCCCTTTGAATCTTTTTTCTTACTCCTCATAACTAGTGTGATCATATGCTTTACTGTCCAAACTTGGACCTGTTTGAGAGGGAAGAGATGCTGCTAGGAATTACACCAGGAAAACAGGTGTCCCACACAAACCAGGATGAAGGGTCACCATTCATAATGGATCAGTGGCCAGGTTCTGTAATCCTCATTGCTAAGATGCTGCTCTTCTCCATATCTTCTTTTTCATTTTGACTAATTATGTCTCATCTGCTAATTCCAGTGATCCAATTGGCTTTCCTACATTTGAACTATACCCCCTCCATCTTTGTTATGCATTATTGCCAAGGTGACCTCTCCGAAGCACAGCTACAACTATGTCTTGACTTAGAAAACCTACAATGGTTCACCATTGTGTACATGGTGGAATTCAGACTCCTTCAGCTAGCATTCCATTATGACCAAGATTTCGCCCCTCTCTGCTTTCTAGCCTTATGTTCAACAACTGCACTGGTCCGTCAGTATGCACTGAGATTTCCTGACTATCCTCTGCTCTCAACTCAAGCAGTTTCCTCTACTCCCTTATCTATGTCCAGTATAAGCCATCCTGACCTGCAAGACCTTGTCTGCAACGAGCCTCTCCCCTTGGGAAGTGGTCATCTCTTCTCTTCCCCTCTGACCTTCCTGTAGCTTCTCCCAGGCTTTGTCACATTCTGCCTTGCACCAGAGGGAGCAGCATGTCTAGTGGAGTATACGCAGGATTCTGAATCCAAGACGTGGGTATGAGTCCCAGTCTCATCACTTTGGAGGTGGTTACTTTGAAGCATCCATCTTATATGAAAACTGCTGTTTAAAATTTTAACCTTGCTAATTGGCTTCTGTAAATTCTTGCTTGCTAAGACTACTCCCACTTCAGCTAGGCTATTGAACTTTCCCAGACAAGGTCATCAGTGCTGGCGCCAGGCCAGGCCTCTGGTTGAGGTCTCAAGGCCCCTGTACATACGGGCTCTTTAAGAACTTGCAAGAAGGGGCCGGAAACACTCCATATTCCGGAGACAAAGAAAGTAAAATCATAAATAGGGAGAATTCCTGCATGTCAGGGCCCAGAATTTGAGATACATTTTCCTCTGGATCCGTGTGTAATAAATGTAACTCCATCTCTCTAAGTATTGCTTTGTTCTTCTTCAGTTTTCTGTAACAACTTAAGGTCTCTGAGCCTTCATTTTCTCACTCTCATGTAGATATTATATCATCTGTCAGACAAGGTTGTTGTGAGCAATACATGCAGTGATTGGGCAAAGCAATGAGCAAATGCTATTACTTTCACTTCTTTTTTTGCTACTTTCCTAATTTGGCATAAAATTCCTTGAGAGCAGATACCATGTTGAATTCTCCTCTGTACCTTTCACAATACTTAATAAACTGAATTGAATTTGAATTATCTGTATGTCTTAAATTGTAGGATTAAATTAAGATTATGAAACAATGCAACTGCCCACCAACAGATGAATAGGTAAACAAAATGTGATATGTTCATGCAATGGAATATTATTCAGCCTTAAAAAGGAAGGACGTTCGGTCATGCCACAACATGGGTGAACCTTGAAGACATTATGGTAAGTGCAGTAAACCAGTCGACAAAGGACAAATACTGTATGATTCTATTTATATGAGGTACCTAAAGTAGTCAACTCATAGAGACAGAAAGTAGAAGGATGATTGCCAGGGACTGGGGGAGGAGGAATTGGGGACTTAGTGTTTAACGGGTACAGTGTTTCAGCTGGGGAAGATGAGAAAGTTCTGGAGATGATTGCACAACAGTGTGGATGTTCTTAAAGCCACTGAAATATTTACTTAAAGATGGTTAAAATGGTGAATTTTATGTTATGTATATTTTACCACAGTATAAAATGTTTAAAAAAGAATATAATTTATTCTCATCTAAGTGAATGCATTCAGAGAAGAGGACAGAGTGTGGGTTGAGTGCCCAGCTAGGCTGAAGTAAGCTTCAGTCTCTGCCAAGTTATCACGGCCAGTGGGGAGGGATCCTACACCTTTGCTGGGGGCTAAACATTGTTCTCTGCTTCTTCTACTTCAAATCTGCTGATTCCTAAAAAGGAGGAGTTTGGGGTGGGGGTGAAAGCATACCTAATAGCATGGGGATGAGGGTATTCCTAGTTATTCTTGAAGAGGATCCTGTTCCAATAAAGATGATAAGAGGCTTTGTTTTCTGAAAAGTATCTCAGACCATTTGAAAACACCCATCTTCTCAGGGTCTCCTCACCTCAAATGCTTATAAGGGTAACTGTATTGCCAAATAGGGAGGGAACATTTGGGGAAAGAATTTAAAACTGAGAAATTAGCAGAAGAAAAGGGGTGGGGGGTGATGGCAAGGAAACCACCCACATGTGCGTAGTGGGTCCTCCTGGTGTTTTCTCGAGGATCAGAGCACATGCTGGGGTCTCTTCCACATGCAGGAGGCACATTTGAATCTTGGGTGGGGTATGGGGTTGGAGGGGTGCTGCATGCCCTGTGGTTCAATGTAATGACAAGCCCTTACCTTTTCCCCTCCCCGCAACCTTCTTTCTGTGAGCTCTTTTTTGTATTTAAATGGAAGTTAGTTTTCAAAAATACAGAGACACCAACTTTGAGGCTAATTTTAGAATTTCCTGGGGATATTTGAAGACATGCTGGAGAGGCCTCTGGAGAGGAGGAGGTGGAAGCAGGCCTGGGAAAGTGCACAGGCCCAGAGGTGGCTACCTGTGCCATGGTTCAGAGCTGATCAGGTGTCACCAGTAATAAAGATCCATTGTCCCAGCTCCCTCATGTCAAAGTGACTTAGATGGAAAGAGGCAGTCATTAAGAAGAGCAAGCTTCTTCAGGTTTAACAAGTACTAGTTAGAAACCCTCATGATCTGCTCTCTGCGTGCCTGCCTTCCTGCTTCACTGGAATAATTTGATTTGAAAGCATTTGACTCAGATTTTAGTCATCGTTAGGTTGTCCCACCATCTGAGCCATTAGTCTGAAAAAAAGAATCAATGTAGCTCCCAGTGACAGCACTTATTCTGTATGCACAGACTGTCCCCAGCTCACCCTGCGGGGCTGGCTGCAGAAGGCACACCCACACACCTGCCTTCCCTCTTCCCGGAACTGGGTCTGCCCACCTGCACACACCTCGCTCAACCACCAGAGTGAGGCTTTGTGCTGTCAGCGGTGGAACAATCCTGTCTACATGTCACCAGTATCTGTCTCTGCTCCCGCCTCTGTCACGGCTTTAGGAAGCTATCTTTCCTATTTGAGCTGTGGCAAAGACAACAAAAGACTTTTCATTTGACAATTGAAGGAAAATGAAGATGTCTTCAAATAATCACTTTTATTTAGCAAAAAAACGTCTAAGTAAACTAAGAAAAAATTATGCTATTGTTTCTGTTATTTTCCCTTCTAATACTGTATGAGTAAGTGCAAAAGTAATTATTTAAAAAAAATTTTTTGTTTGTGCAAGTCACATGGAGAAATCATCACAGCTCATTGCTAGATTGGTGAGCTGAACTGGAAACATGCTGTTTTATGGAGCTTTATCATTGTCAAAGAATCATACAGAATACTTTTTTTCCTTTACTGTATTTAGAAACAGTTTCCTAACATTTAGTGAATGCATCATTATTTGAAAAGTGTCATTGTTGAAATAATTTATAGCAATACCATATGGTCATTGAAATAAGTCAAACCAGAAAGAAGTTTATGAATAGACTAGAGGCTTGGTGCACGGATTCGTGCATGGATGGGGTCCCTTGGTCTGGTCAGTGATCAAGGCGTATCAGGGGGGCCAACTGGCCGGAGGGAGGGACCCTGGGAGGTTGGCCTACCAGTCCCCCAATTGGGATAGGGAGGAGGGGGAGCACACAGGCAGCACAGGGAGAGAGGCCTCAGAAGGTTGGCTGTGAGAGTGCACTGACCACCAAGGTGCAGCTCCTGCATTGAGCCTCTGTCCTGTGGTGGTCAGTGCCTGCCATAGCCACTGGTCAACTGGTTGTTCTGTCATAATGGTCACTTAGATATTAATATATATATATATATATATATATATATATATATATATATATATATATTATATCTCCTATTTTTCTCTATCCTGTCTCATTCATTCCCATTCTCTAGGGAAACCACTGTAAGCAGTTTAGTGTTAGTCTTGTAGATCTTGTAAAACATACAAACATATATATGTATACACAAAGGTTATTTGTGTGTGTGTGTGTGTGTGTGTATGTGTGTGTTTTTAAGAAAGGACATAGTTTTTAAAATTAATGATCAGAGTATGTATAATGTTCTATAATGCACTGTGTTAGATAAATAATATGTCACAGACATCATACCATATTAGTAAGTATATTCATATCATTATTTTTAACAGCTGCTTAGTATTCCATAATGACATTGTTTATCATATACAACCATTTCCTTATTAGTGGGTTTATTCTTTTATTTAACAAACAGTTATTGATGTGCATGTATGTGCTAATCTCAGCACAGTACAGAGAATATGATGGTGAGCAGAAGTTTTAGAATTTCCTGACACCCTTTGGGGTAATTTAAATCTACTCGTGAGACAGATTTAACTAAATTCACAAAACCATGCGAAACCAGTGCCATATAAACTGTGATGGGGGCTTTAACTCAGAGAAATTGAGAAAGGTTTCCATGAGGAAAGACCCTTGAATAACTATCTGAAGATGGAGCCTTCTAGGTATATCTAATTCTGGGAATTTAAACAGAGAAGATTATTCTAGAACACTGGCTAAAAAACCAACAATACATGGTGAGTAAAAGGGTCTGAGAGAAGGCTAGTGGGGTTGGAGCTTGAGAAATGAAGGCTAGTGTTGTGAGATGAGGCTGGAGGTGGGGACCAGACTAGACAGGGGCCATTTACTGGTGGTTTTGCCTTTACCTTAACAGCAATGTGATGCCATTGAAGTGATCTAGGCAGAGTGGGTTAGGGGCATTTTTGGAAGCATTCCTCCAGCTATGTGTGGTTGGGAGAAAGGATTGGAGGAACGAACCAGTTAGGAATCACTGAAGTCCAATGAGAGATGATGGTTTGTTGGACCAAGGGGTGATGATGGTGAAGGAGAGAAGTGGACAGAACAGTGAGCTACCCAGGAGGTAAAAGCGAATGGACTTGGTTTTAGATGAAAATGGATGGAGTTAGGGGAGGGAGAGGGAAATTTCAAGGTGGCTCCTAGGTTCCTGGATAGGAATTTGAGAGGAGGAACGTCCAAAGGGATTGAGTCTTGGCAATGGAGGGGAATAGGATGGGGCAAAAGATGAGGTTTTGTACATGTTGAGACATCCAGGAGGTATCAGGTATGCAGTTTTATATCCTTGTCTGATGCTCAGAAGAAAGATATGGCCTAGACCACAAAATGGGGAATAATTTGCAAGGAGTGATATTAATACCTGTGATATGGCTGAGTTGTCCTGGGGAACATGAGGCGAGAGAAGGGAAGAGGGTCTAGACCAACCTTAACCACCTTTTCTTTCAGTAGAACCATAGAATATTTTGTGAATGTGTTGTGGACCACTGAAAGAGACTTAGAGGTGGAAGTTGAATGATTTAAAATAAATCACAAGTGAAGGGAACATCATTCTTGTGATGGAAGGCTAGCAACTGGGGCTCTTATTCCAGCTGTTT